TCCTGCTCTTGAGCGTTGTGCACAGATCCTGCCAGAGCACAAGCACTTGACCACTCGTTTTGTGGTAACATGGCGCTGCAAGACCATTGCAGGTTGCACATACTGGCTCCGGCGAGCCAGGCTTGTGGCCCGTGATTTTGCATTTTTGTGCCCAGGCCGTACCGACTTGTTTTCCCCTGCATCGAATGCTTTGCAAAGCAAGATCATCCCATGTGTCTTCATTGACAACTACCATAACGGTTGGCAGTTGGTATCATTAGATGTTACGGATGCTTACTTGAATTCCCCGCAGGCAGAGGACACATGCACAAGTGTCATGATCAATGGCGAACGCTTGTATTTCAAGCTTCTCAGGCTCCTTCCGGGCCAGCGGGAAGGGAGCCAGACCTGGTTCTACCAGTTCACCGATGCGCTGAAAGTCGGAAGCCGTGTCGAGCTGATGCAAGAGGTGCCATCGCTGTTCCGGTTCCAGCCTGAGGACGGCGGAGGCGGGGGACTTGTGCACGTCGATGATTTGCTTGGCACAGGACCTGCAAGTGTGATCAAGTGCATGACTGATCATCTTGAAAGGGATTACAAAGTGACTGTGAATTTGATTTCGGTGCCAGGCCAAGAGGTTCATTTTCTTAAGAAGCGGCATTATCTTTTGTCGAGCACAGAGTTGCTGATTGAGGTGAGCCCAAAACACTTGGAAAAGTTGAAATCTTTGTGCGGCCATCCCAAGCACCGAAAATCACCTCTCCCGTCCGGGCGGTTGCCCACGGAGAAGGAGGACGATGCACCATTGTCCCAGGATCAGGCATTTCGCTTTCGATCAGCCGTTGGAGTGTTGCTTTACCTGCAGTCAGACCTCCCGCATGCCATGCACAGCATTCGCCACTTGTCAGGCTTTATGTCGTCCCCGACCGTTGGGGCATGGGCAATCCTGCGGCATTTGGTCGGTTACTTGAGTGCCACTGAGGGGTACTGTGCATGCCTTACGGCCGGAGGTATCGGACATGGTGTGCAAGTGCATCGCCCAGGGATCAATGTCATCGAGACGTTTAGTGATGCTGACTGGGGTGGATGCCGATCCACCCGACGCTCTGTCTCGTCGTCTGTGATTCTTTGCAACAGCAAGTTTATCCATGCAGCGTCCAAAACGCAAAAGTCGATCGCACTCTCCAGTGCGGAATCCGAGTTTGGTGCCGCGGTGTCAGCCGCGATAGATGGAACCCTTGTTGCAAGCATGATGCGGTTTGTGTCCCCAGAGCCAACGACACCACCACTCTTGATGATTGACAATTCCGCTGCCCGCGCGATCCTTCAACGCGCCGGGGTCGGGCGTGTGCGCCATCTTGATGTGAAGTTGCTATGGACGCAACAACGGGTTGCGGAAGGATTGCTGGAGGTGCTGCCGGCACCCACGCGTACCAATGTCGCGGACATTGGCACGAAGCTCCTTGGTGTGCAGCCTGATTGGGTTTAGAGATTCCCGAAATGGTTATGCTAGGGTTGGAGATGCAATCTTGAGCACAGAGCACAATGTCCAGGCCATTCGCAATGTGTGCAAGGATCTGTCGAAGATCGCGAAGGGTGATGCCACGGCAAACACCGCCCGCATCCTTAGTGTTATCTTGATTGCCATGCAGGCAACTGGAAGCCTGGGTGCAGAGGATGGCGATGATGCCAATGACGACGACGCGACTTCGACCATTCTTGATACGATTCTTGAATCCTTGGTGCAGATCGTCGGCTATGCATCTGCAGTGTATGAAGCATACCCTTCGACATGTGTTGCGGTGTGCCAGTGCGTTGCAATCACTGCATTCTTGATGTGTGCATTCATGTGTTGTGGCCGACGGATGACAGATGTTCCAGAAGCATCTGTGCAGGTGCGCATCGCGTCTGGAGTTGCGGTTGATGTCCGAACATCCCGAAGTGAGCCCAAAGCCAAGGCTGGTGAACAGGTGCGTGGAGCGCGGCCCAAAACCGCGAGTCGACCGAAGCTTGATGACGACGATGAGCGAGCCCAGAGCCCTGGTGCGCACGAGGTCCATGCAGGCAGACCAGGGTCATCCAGCGATGTGCTGAGATCGAACAGCGAGGCCAGTGAGAGATCCGAGAAGATTCCGAGAGCACGCTCGATTCCGCAGCGCCGGGTGCCACAAGCCCGAAGCGCAGACGGTGTGTGGATTTCGACAAGCCAGGGATACGCTTATCATAAAGCTACATGTGGCAAGCTGAACCAGTCGCTTGGCGTCACCGAGGTGTCGCGGGCAGTTGCCGAGGAGCGCGGCTACCGCCCGTGCCGCATATGCAAACCTTGATGGGTGTGCCGAGTTTCTTGTGATGCTGCGTCGTACGCTTGATCTTGCTTTATAATGCTCATGAGGCACATTGGATGCCATGTACATAGTCAGTCCTTTGTGCCACGGCGCAATTGATTGACAGGCTGCTGGTGGATCCTGTACATAGCTTGAAAACGTGCGATGGACGGCTTGAAATCACTTGAATCTTGATATGCAGCATTTTGCTGCCAATCCGAGCAATGCCACAATCCCCTGAGCCGTGGAGCGGCTCTCAGCTGCTGAGGTGCGTTTGGCACCCATTGGCGGTAACTAGGCCGTCACCGACTTTTCGACTGGGCGCGAGAGCGCATGATCCATCATGAATCCGCCCTTTGTCTTGACAACTTGCGAGGGCGTCCGCTTGCGCCAGTCAAGCATGCAGTTGTGTCCTCGGCTTAAGGTCGTGGATACAACTCCGTAGGCAGTGTAGTGTACAGTCTACACGTAGTTGCGTATCATTCGAGCTAAGCCTTGAGCCGGCTAAATCAAGCCCAATACGCTAGTGAAAACATGTGCGCTTGGAGCGTGTTTAAACGTCGTACAAGCTGTTGTTTCATACTTTGGGAATCGTTCACGAACAGTCTGCCCATTCGCCAATGGAACAGCCTGAGGCGGGGTACGAACGATTTTCCCGTATTCGTTGGCATGGTTTTACATTGATTTTATCATGCATTTTTACTTTCGCTCCTGTAGTCGTGCACATGCTGATTCTGAGATACCTGAAGGCTTTTGTTGCTCGAGGATAGTGGAAAAGTTCGTAGTGAGGAAGACTACGTGCGTGGAAGCAGAGTCATTTCAGGAGTGACTCAGGAAGAACCGGAAAAGAAGAAGGAGCCGGAGATGATTGAGTACCGTGGAGAGATGATCAGCGTGGAAGAGATGGGGAACAAGATGTTACCCCCAGAAGCGTTGGAATCGTATGAAGAGTATTGCAGACAATGCAATGAGACGTATGAAGCGTCAGGAGAAGGCACAAGGATCGGATATGCCGATGGATCTGTTTGGAAGCCCGAAGCAGGTAGCAGATCCCGGTACGCTAGACAGTACGGAGGAAAGAACGTTGTTCGGAAGTCAGTAAGTCCTACATCGTGTACGAGTATGAGACAGAGCAGTGAGTGTAGGCAAGACTGAAAAAGTTTCACCTCGGAACACACAGCAGCGAAAGCGCAAAAGAAGGAAGAGCGCTAACGCAGGAAGTTTGTGTGGAATGTTTCACTAGGACGAAGTACTTGTTACTGTACGAACGTCAGGACATGGACGGTCTGACACACCTCCTTAATTGGGGGACGGTCAAAAGGTGGGTTGCACGGAGTGTTTAACCCAAGGACTTGCAATGGCTAAGCCGATGCAGTCACGGGCGGAGGTATGCCCGACCGCGGACCGATCGAAGTACAGCACAAGGACTTCGAGGCAGGGTGTTGAATTCTGTACATAGGAACGCCCCACACCTTTGGTGAGCCCAGGCTACGGTATAGTATTGTATAGCTGTATACTATGTGACCGATGCAGCGCCTTTGGTTCAAGAGTAAAAGCGTGACCGCTCAGGGTTTTACAGTTTAACTACTAGGGAGCTGCGCTCTCGCCGACGACAAGAGTGATTGCAAGGCGTGCTGGGCCCTAGTCTGAGCTTGAGCGAATCTAGCAATAGGAGCCATGTCCTTTGGGGAGAGCGCGGCTGTCTTCAAGGCGCGAGCCAAAGACATTGGGGTGTCAGATGAGAGCTTCACGAAGCTTGAGGCGGAAGGGCTGACAACGATGGCAACTTTTGCCTTCTGTTGTCATTTCAACCCGTCTGCGTGGCAGCATTCTGTTAGCAGGCAGCACGAGCTTCTTACCGGGCTCAAGAAGGATGCATCGCTTACTTTGGATTCTGCAGGCGGCCTGAAAATTGCCAGCAAGCCCAATGTAACTCCTTGCGATGTGTCCAATGACATGATGGTCCGCTACGCCTTAGTGCGAAGGGGCCTAGCCTTTGAACAGGCGAACATCATGGCATACCATTTGCATGATGAGTTGCTTGAGAAGTACATGTCGTTCAGGCTTACCGACCCTCCTCCGAATCATGCACGGGTGAGCTTGAAACAGATTGAGCAAGCTGACCGACAATTTACCATGTTGCTCGCGGAACACACTCGCAGCGGCATCAAGGTGAAGGCGGGAGGATCGCGGCCATGCGATGATGCATTCCGCAAAGTGTTCGAAAGTACTGAGTTTCTCCCGATGCTAACCCCGAGGCCTCTTGCAGCGGGATCAGGAGCCAGCCGTGACGCTTCCTCAGGAGATGAGCCCCCGATCAAGCGCCATAAGGGCAATGGCAAGGGCCTGGGTCGTGGGCGCGGGGGTCAGGGCGCCGGCAAGGGCTCCACCAATGCCAGGGTCCCGGCAGAGCCCCTCGCACTCGGGTGCGTGGCCGCCACGCCTAAAGGACATGCCTTATGCTTCGATTACTCGCTAGGGAAATGCTCCCGAGCAGTGGCCAACCAAAGGTGTGAAAGGGGATTGCGTTTGTGTGCAGTCAAAGGATGCCACAGAGGGCACCCAGCCAAGGAATGCCCCGCGAAAAAGGCGCCTTCGTCGTGACTAATGAGTCAGACGAGCGCGCACGTCCCACCATCGCCATTGGCGCACGGTGGGATCGATGTCACAGAGAGCCATGGCTCAACTGCCGGTATGGAGCCGGCAGCTGATCAATCGCTCAACGATTCTTCCTGTTTTCCCCCTGGGCCACCCTGTAAGGCGGCTAAATTAGACGATGCATATGCCTTTTGCGAATCTTTGGCAAGCCACTTTTTGCGTTCTTCCGACTTCAGTGCAACTAACATAGCGTCCATTTTGGACGCATTTCCTTCTGAGGACCACACTCGGGCTTGGCTGGAAGCCGACGGTGACTCAAAAGCCATTACGGTAGGTGCGTGCAACCGAGGCGGGGTCACAGCAGTTCGCAGCAACACGCGCCGCATGCCGGCGGTGGCAAAGTATCTTGCAGCAAGTGTCAAGTTGGTTGCACCGCAATGCGAGTTCACCTCCGTATCCGTGCACCGGAACTTGCAAGCCCCAATGCATCAGGACTCCTTCAACAGCAGCGTGCCTAACGTCGTTGTACCACTGTCCTCCTTCTCTGGAGGACACATCTTCGTCGTGCATCCTGAGGGCCCAGACCAAACAACCTACGAGGATGTGCCGTGGACAGGCTTCAAACTCGATTGCGCTTCTCATGCTTGGGCTTTTGATGCTAAGCACTGCAAACACTTTACTTTGCCGTGGAAAGGCTCCAGATCCCTTCTGGTTGCCTTTACCGTGGGTCACCTCTCGGGTTTAGCTCCCGGTGACAGGGATTTCTTGACCTCCCTAGGGGTTAAGGTTCCCCGCCAGGATGTCCAACAAGGCCCCACCATGAAGCCGTACCCGTTGCAAGGCTACGATGTGCGGTGTCCACAAGTGTCCACCGATTCGGCGCCACTGGCTCAGCCGAGTCCGGCCTTCCCTTCTGCTGAATTGCCCGCCGACGGGCCTTTGGTGATCGAGCTCTGCGCCGGGTCCGCCATCCTCAGTCAGACGGCCGCAAGCCGCGGCTTTGCAATCATGCCCGTGGTTCATGCGCATAATCGCCACGCTCCCAAGTGTAAGATCGTGAATCTCGACTTGACAAAAAGCCACTCCTGGGAGGTCCTCAAATTTGTCATCAAATCCAGGCGGGTGGTGATGGTGTTTGCGGCTCTGCCTTGCGGCGCCTGCAGTGCTGCTCGCAACTACCGCCCGGGACCCCCAGTGCTCCGCACCACTTCACATCCGTGGGGTGTCCCGTGGGCCTCCACCAGAGATTGTGTCAAGCTTAAAGCTGCCAATGCCATATACAAGCACCTTTGTGCTTTTCTTGAAATGTGCGATCAGCACTCCGTGCCTTGGTGCGTGGAGAACCCTACCAACAGCATGTTCTGGGAACTGCCATGTCTTGCGTACCCTTTGGCTCATGGTTTCTTCGCACATTGTCAGGCATGCGCTTTCGGCAGCGAACGCGACAAGAAAACCTCCTTCTTGTGCAGCAGCTCGTGTATCTCTCGCATGGCTCTCTTGTGCCCAAGCTGCAAACAACATGCATCGTGGGGCCAGACCTCTTCTGTCACCTTCGCCACGGCGGAGGAAGCAGCCTACCCACCGGCCATGTGTCAGGCCTTGTGTGACGTCTTTGAGTCTGAGGCTGCGCGCCTCAACTACGCGTTGGGCTCGGCTCATCCAGTCCTGGCCCGAGCCCACAAGCAGCCTCGCGGGCGCCTGCACCCGCAGCTCCTGTCGGAGCATAGTGCAATTCTTTCCCGCCTCCTGCCCCGGGTCCCACACCTTAATTACAAGCGCTGTCTTAAGCATGATGTTCACGGCGTCCCGGCCGGCAGCAAACTCTTGCGTTCCGAAAATAGGGGAAGTAAGGGTGTCCTCTGTGTCTTTGGAGTCTTCAGGAGCCCAGAGTCTTTCGTCAGAGAGGCTAAACTGCTGCACCGCCCGTTTGATTCCCTGGCACAGCTACCAGACTACTTGATCAAATCCCTGTTTGAGCAGCTAACAAAATCCCCTGCGGAGATCTGCAAGCTCAGACTCCTTCGTTGGCGGAGCTGGCGCCAGTCGAGCATGCCCACCGTGCCAAGATGCAGCCTTCCGTGAGGGAAATCCTCGCCAACAAGCGTACGGCTCTCCTGGAGGAGATGGCTGCCGAAATAGATTGGCCGGACAAGGGTCTCTTTTCAGAAATGCGCCAGGGCTTCCGACTCGTTGGCTGCCTGAGCCCTTCTGGTGTGTTCAGGGAAGGAGGGTACCTCGCCTCCATCAGCGAATCGGAGCTGATCGAAAATGCTGATAGCATCAAAGCTTCTCTCTTGTCACGTGTGTCATCTGATCCTCTTGACGAGAACGCTGACGAGCTGTACGATGTGACTCTTCAAGAGTCAACCCAGAAAAAGTGGCTAGACGGGCCTATGTCTCCCGAAGACATTGGAAAGCGATTTGGGGCATGGATCCCAGTGCGCCGCTTCTGTGTTGTGCAAAAAGGACGCTTGAGACCGATCGACGACTTCAAGGAGAATCTTGTAAACCAAGCCTGCTCTACAAGCGAGCGGATCGTGCTTCAGGCGATGGACCATCTTTTATGGTCTCTTTCTGTGTTGTGCCATTTCTACCGGAAGCGAAGAGCCGTCGATTTCACTTTGTCTTCTGGAGAGAGGTTGACGGGACACGTCCACCCTGACTGGCAGAAATCGGGGGCGAGCATGCAAGTCGCCACCTTGGACTTGAAATCGGCATACAAACAGCTACCTTTAAATCCATGTGACTTCGACAAAAGCGTGGTGACCTTGAAGGATCCGAAGACAGGATCCATCTCGTGCTTTGTCATGCGCACACTCCCCTTCGGAGCGCTTGCATCAGTATACCACTTTCTGCGCGTCAGCTTGCTGTTGCATGCCCTCGGGTGCCACCTAGGAGCATGCTGGTCCGCATACTTCGACGATTTCCCCATGGCAACGCATTCGCTTGTGGCCACGTCAACTTCGGCTCTAGTTAAGGGGTTCCTTAAGTTAGCGGGGTTCGACTTTGCAGAAGAGAAGTGCACGCCTTTTTCTTCTGATGCCGAAGTCTTGGGAGTTACTCTGGATGTATCCCAGAGCACGGAGGGCCTCATCAACATCCGAAACAAGCCTTCCCGGTGCGAGGAGCTGAATGCTGTGATTGAGGAGGTTCTCAGGGATAAGTCCATAGTCCCCTGCCGGTTGCCGTCCTTCATAGGCAAACGTGATCTAAGGACTTTAGGGTTCACTTCCAGGATGCCGGTCTCCCTCGATGCCAGCGGGATCGATGCGCTCAAAATCCTTCAGCAGAGGTTGATGCATGGAAAGCCTCGCGTCATCCGTGCCGGATGGAAAGAGAAGCCGATACTGCTCTTCACTGACGGAGCCCTGGAGGACGACAACCAGGATCACGGACCGGCCACGGTGGGTGCGGTCATGTTTAAACCGGATGAGCCCAATGTTTACGCTTTCGGGTGCGAGTGCCCTTCCCACCGCAGCCGTTTAGGCTTATCTCCCCAGTTGCACCTAGGTTGCCAGCAACCATGGCGCTGTTTGAGCAATCGGAGCTCGCGGCCTTCCTGCAGGCGCAGGGGGTGCACGAAGTAGTCTGCAACGGCCTCGCCCTCAAGGGGCTCGAGACAATTGAGGACCTGGCATTTGCCTACCCAGACCTTAATAGCTTTGACACTTTTTTGCAGAGCCTTTCTGAGTCGGACCTCAGCGATATGGGGGTCTCGGATGCACTACACTCTGTCCAGGCAGCACGAGCCAGGAAAGCCTTGCGCTCAGCGCACAAAGCACAGGAGGGACCTCAGCCTTCACCTGCGATGCCATCCCTCCCAGCAGCCCTCGCCCCTTCGGCCTCACCATCCTCATGGATGGAGCATCTGCCGCCTAAGCTTAGCTCGGAGGTCGTGCAGGATTTAGTCACGACCTTCAAAGCCAACTATCCGGGAGAGCTCCTGGACGACGATACTATGCCATCAATCCGCCTTCTTAGCCTCGTCCAACACAGCCTTCAGCCAGGAGAAAAGCTTAAGTGGATCCCATGGCAGCTACGCCTGAGCTCCAAACAGTACTCCGAAATTATGGAGGCCAAGTCATCTAAGCCTATGAGGACGGAGGCCCAGCTCCTCGCCTCAGCCATATATGACGACACGCCTGAGATGGCCGTCTCCCATCTCCGCCTTTCCGTGTCCTGGCTACAGCGCATCCAAACGGTGTTCCGGAACGCTTGGGCACTGTGTGGGGCAGCCCACCTTAACAACCTCAAAGCCTTCGCAGCGAGTCGAGCACCTAGCCCTGCCAGACTTAGCCGACTCTTCCCTCCGGGGACCAACAACGCAAGAGCTCTTGGCAGCCGATCGCAAGATTTGGAACACCATCTCTAGCCTTGCGGCCTCTGGCTGGAGCCTAGACGAAGCCCTGTACGAGGTCACTAGCATTCGGAGTGACCTCGCCAACTTGCTTCAGCCAAGACCGCGGCCGCCGTCCCAATGGAGGAAACCAACCCCCCCCGCCAAGCAAGAGAGTCCGCCTTAACACGCCATCCACCGAAAAAGGTGGCAAGGGCAAGGGCCGCGGCAAAGGCCTTCAGAAGCCAGATAGCCCATCCAAGTCTGACTCGTGGCCTTCTAACTGGGTGTTGAAGGCCAAGGGCAAAGTGCTCTGCAAGCGTTACCAGAGGAATCTCTGCGCCTTGCCTAATTGCAAATTCGCCCATCTCTGCGCGGTCCGGGGCTGTGGCAAGGAACACTGTGCCGTTGAAGCCTCCGTGACTAGGACCTGCAACAGAGTCTCAGCCGCAGCAGCAGTATCAGCCTCCGCCCAGGTCAATACCCGCAGCCTCACAGCCTGCAGCCACGGAGCAGCCTCAGCCACCCGAGAGCCCACCTCAGGACTCTCCGCCGATACACCAAGCCACAGAGCGACAGCAGACTCATCAGCCTCGGCCATGCGCAACTCGCAACCCCGGCGGGGGTTAGGCAGGACGGCGCTTTGCCAACCGGGTCTGGACGTCGCTCAGCCAACGCAAAGCCCATAAGCCCCCAATAGTCTATTCGTGCCCAGCCTTAAGACCTTAGCGGTTTGCCCTTCCATCCCCATCGGCTCCACCTGCCTACGTCACGCGCGCGACCGCAACGTCTGCGTGCGCTATGGCGATTTCGCGGAGCGACTAAGTTGTCTTTTCTGTTTTCATAGCTGCCGGTGCAGCAGCGCAATGATTAATTATTTATCGTTTTGCTTCCGGCATGCTTTCATGATGTGAGCTTTTGACTCACTCTTTTCAGGCATGTTTTTGGATTCATTTTGAAAAGTAGTCGGACGCGCTTTTTAAGTATGTGGACTACTTTTCAATGTTGATTGAAGTTTAACTCATGCGTGATCACCCGCGCCGCTTCACACAGCATGGCTCGTCGCACATGTGCAACATGACATCGAATCAGCTCATGAGCTACGCAGCTTGAGCATGCACTGTGCAGCAGAGCTTTGCTAAAGTTTTCACCTCTCCACTCGTCCGGGGGGGGAGCTTTTGCCCCGAAAGGGGGGTACATGGACTTGGCTCCTGGCCATAGCATCGAGGAGGCCGTTGAGCTTCTGCGAGCTGCAGACTTCCGTCTGTTCTGCATTGAGCGTCGTGTGTCCACTCTTGAAACGCAGATTTCTGAGCTGCGTGAAGTGCAATCGCGGCTTAACGCTACAGTGCTTCGTGTGGAGGCGCTGGAACAAGACAACGCAGTAATCAAGCATTGCTTTTCTTCGACACAGCCAGGGGTCAGTCTTCGATCTGAAGTAGCATCTCTTAACAACGTGGTTACCCAGATTGTGGACTCAGTCAATCGCTTGGAGCCTGAGTTACAGCTTCTTTTGCGTTGGCGGGAGCGCTTCACTTCAGCTTTGCAGGCCGAGCTTCAGGACTTAGGTCACCAGCTTTGTGTGGTAGCATCGCAGCTCGAGGTCTCCCGCCTCGACGAACTAGACTAGTGTGTGTGATCAGTCATGACGAAACGAGGCCTTGATGATCTTGGCGATCTAATCTCGCATACACAATTGTGTGACTCCCGCTCCGGATGCATTCAGATGCCTTGGGATCACGGGGTTTTTGGTCTAGTCTTTGGGTCCCCTAGGCCTCCTGCACCCTTGGTTCCCCTCCCAAGCCCACCGCCTCAGCTTGCTGCCTGCCGGTGTCAGTTCGGCGATACAGCAGGCTCCGCAAGATGCTTTGCCCTCGGCCACTCAAGCCTTTGCTCGGCAGCGGGCTCGTTTTGCTGCGCTGATTCGGTCGGATGATTCTGTGCGCTTTGAGGCTTTACGTAAGATTAAGACCCTGGCTTTACTTGATCCTGCTGCATCGGAGCTGGGGCGGCTTCTCATCGGCGAGGCCGCTATCTTGTCTGACCCTGAGAGACTTCAGAAGTCCTTTGCTGACACGTTCGCTACAAAGAGCACTGCAACATTGGCCAAACGAGCTTCCTCTTTCTGGAAGTTTGCCGAGTTTTGCTTGATGTTCGATTTTGGCTCGCCCTTTCGAGCGAGCGAGGCGGCTGTCTATGCATATATCCAGGACTTGCAGGCCCACGGAGCTCCTACATCGGCCAAGGCCTTTCTTGAAAGCTGGAATTTTCTGTCAGCGCTGCTGGGTTTCGCAAAACTTGCAGGCCAATCTCCTTTGTCAGGCCGTGTGCGAGGAGCTGCTGCAGCGTTGGCGGCCACTAAGAAGCCGCTGGTCCAGGCCTCACCATTGTCAGTTCCAATGATTCGGGCTCTGGAAAGGATTGTGGTGAAGCCTCCGTATCCTCATTGGCGTGTGATTGCTGGGCACATTCTTTTCTGTGTGGGAAGCTGTTCTCGCTTTTCGGATACAATCCACCTCAAATCTTTGGAGCTTCAGAGTGCGGGAACCGTGCATCTTTTGGAAGCATCGTCTGCATCTTACAAGACTGGTACTGGCGAACGGAAGACCATACTTCTGCCGCTGCTCTGCCTGGGATCTTTCGTGTACCCCACGATTTGGGCGCCGCTGTGGATGGAAGCCCGAGCTGATGCTGGCCTCGGCCTCAATCCGTCACTGCCTGCATTCAGCGAAGCCTCGCAGTCTTGGTTGGAGCGTCGCATGTCTACTGGTGAGCTTACCATGTACCTGCGTGAGTTCCTCGTAGCCAGTCATATCGACATTCCTTCGGAGTCCCGCATCAGCAGTCACAGCATGAAGGCCACTTTTCTTAGCTGGCTAGCCAAATTCGGAGGCGTTTCTTTGGAGGACCGCCGCATTGCAGGGCACCACTTGGACCCTGATTCCCGGTCCCCTCTGACCTACAGCCGTGACGAGCTGTGCCGCTTGATGAAGATTTTCGAGGATATCCTGAAAGCCATCCGTTCCGGCCACTTTAAGCCTGATGACAGTCGCGTGATGCGTTTAGCTGTCATGGTTCAGGCTGAGTCAGGCCCTCAGCTGCAGGAGAAACTCCTCGAGCAGGACCCATATGTCTCCGATTCCGAAGCTGGTGATTCCGACATCAGCCCAGAGGATCTGGAGGCCCGAGCCGGTGGAGTCCCCCTGGACGAAGGCTTGAACGCTGCTCAGATCTCTTCTGTATACAGCAAGATGCACATTTACAGTCGTACAGTGCATATACAGGCTGCTGAAGGTGCCAAATTTTTGTGTGGCCGACCCATCACCCGCAATTTTGACGAGCTGGACAAGGCCGTACCGGCCTCTGATCTGCTTGTTTGTAAGCGGTGCAGCCAAATCCACCGAGCCAGTTAAATAGCTGGCGCACGTATTGCTATTCTCGCAAAAGAAAGCCTCTTCAGCACGAGCAGCCGAAAGACCCAGGATTTCGGAGAAATTTCTCTCCCAGCCTGCAGTGGTCTCAAGGGTGGTGCCAAGCCGGGTCTATGAGCAACTACATCTGCGCTGGCGGTACTCGGGGCACCTTAACCCCAAGCCGTTGGACGCCATGGAACATTGTGCGTCTTGCAAGCTGTTTTTCGCATCCCCGGTATCCGGCACCATCCCTGGCAATCTTTCATGCTGTGTGGTACTCTGCCTAAGCTGCGAGCGTCTGGAGTCCTCTACAGCTCCTGTCCACATGTGCAGTTTTGTTCAAGCCGGCTGCCGTGTGAACCATGTCCAGCCTCGACAGCAAGGCGGCCTTTAAGGCCAGGGCAATCGAGCTCAATTTCCCCGAGGAGACCCTGACCAAACTCGCAGCCATCAATGTGGACACGTTCGGAGCCCTAGCCTTTATCGGGCCCCTTCAAGCTGGCACGACCGATGAGGGTCCACTCATCAGCATGCTGAAACGTGCTTTGGGTTCAGCGCCTGACGACGGGCTTATGAGCATCGCCCGCCGCCTGTGGTTCGAAAGCACCACTCAGGCTCTTGCTGAAATGCGTGGCAAGGTCGAGCGCACCGATGCTTCTGAACCTGTTCGGATGCCTTTGGCCGAGCGCACACAACGCCTTGCTGCCCTTCAGAAGAGACTTGTGGGTATTCACTGGACCTTCGACATTGAGCCTTCCCATAAGCTACAAGACTTGGTTGCTCAGATGGTGTCTGATCAGTCCTTGCTTTGGATTCCGTGGGATCGCCTCACAAGCCGAGCTTTGGAAATTACGTCTGACAAGACCGATCAGGCGGTCAGCTTCGACAGTGCCGGGAACCTCAAGCTCGTGAAACGGTCGGCCGAGCCTTCTTGCAGTACCATCGGCGAATACGCCGTTAAGCTGGCACTTCAGAGGAGGAGTTTGGCCTTCGAGCTGGCCAGAGTCTGCCGTTACGAGTACCTCGAGTCCTGGCACGACCAGATGCTGCAAGTGCATATGCGCTCCCAGCCTTCAGGCCATCAACGAGTTTCAATTGCTCAACTTCGTGAAGCCGACAAGTTTCTGTGGACAAGGATCGCCGAGGATACGCGTGGCTCACTGTCCATGCGCTCAGACGGCTCGTACCCCTTTGAGGCCTCGCTTGCAAAGTGGAAGGATCACACGCAAGTTCAGTGCTACCTACTTCCGCTGATGCGCTCACCGCCTCCACCGCCGAATCCACACACGCCCAACATCCCACCCAACAAGGACGGGAAAGGGGGCGGCAAGGACAAAAATCAGAAAGCTCTGAAGATTCGCAAGGACACTCCCGGAGCGGAGAAACCCAGCGACTCCGGAGCCAAGAAGTGGAGCGTACCGCAGGGTTGCCACTCGCACGATTCGACCGGCAAACCGCTGTGTTTCGGCTTTAACACCAAGGGCTGCGGGTTCGCGAAACCCGGCAAGCGTTGTCGCCGTGGCCGCCATCTGTGCTAGGTGCTTGGAACCGCATCCGGCTTCCGAGTGCCCGGAGTTTCAGTGACCAGATTCTGCAGCTGCCGGCGTGATGACTCCTTCATTCAGGGATGACGAGACCGGTGGCAGGCGCCTTGCGGCCGAGGAGTTGGCCGACCAGCTCCTTGCTCGGCCCACTGTTACTTCGGATGATTTGCTACGTCTTAGTTTAGCCTTGCCTTCTGAAATCCCTTCCCGAGGAACCGGTTCCGGAGGGCGCTCTGTTAGTTTGGGGGCTTTTGCTTTTTCAGGATCGCAGTGCTTGCGTGTACGTGACACCAGCAAGCTGTACCCCTTGAGCACCAAAGTTTTTGCCAGATTCGTACGTCAGCTTGACAAGGATTTCACTTGCACAACCATTGCCGTTTTCACAAACCTTCAAACACAGCTGCACCAAGATACTGCCAACGATTCGCGGAGCTGCAACCTTCTTTATCCGCTCTCCAAATTTTCTGAAGGAGACGTCTGGATCGAGTCCGATCAGGGAAAGGTTCCTTTCGAACACCGGGGCGAGGTTCTCTGGGGAGACTCCCTGCCGGTGTCCCAGGGGCTTTGCTATCTTGATGCGCCGAACTGCCGACATGCCACTTTGGCTTGGAAGGGCGAGCGCAGTATTCTAGTGGGATACACAGCCCAAGGAGCCGATTGCATGCCTCAGGAGACGCGCGCATTCCTTGAGAACTTGGAGTTTCCCCTGCCCCCCGAGGGCCCCAGGCCCATCCCTAAGACTAGCCCCGAGCCCGTTAAGCCCTCCCTTGCTGTCGCTCACTCCTGTAAGCCTCTCTTCGTCGAGATCTTCGCAGGCTGCGCGCGGCTTTCAAAGCATTGCGAGGCTTTGGGGTTTGAAGTTTTAGCGGTTGACTCCCCTTGGAACCGTCATGCACCTGAACACCCTCTTCTTGTGCTGGACCTTACGGAAACCATGTGCCAAAAGCAGCTCCTGGACAGGCTGCTGCTGCACCCCCCATTCGCCATTCACATTGCCTTGCCCTGTGGTACGGGTAGCCGAGCCCGAGAACGGCCCATAAGCAAGAAGGCGAAAATGGCAGGTGCCCCGGAGCCTGCCCCACTGAGGGACAACGATCACATTTTGGGCTTACCGAACCTGTCGGACACCGACAAGGCCCGGGTTCGCAAGGCCAATGATTTGTGTCGCTTCGTTGTCGAGTTGATTCGTGCCTTACCTTCTTCCACCTTTGTGAGCATCGAGAATCCCAATAATTCCTGGATTTGGGGAGTGCTAGCTTTCTTCGTGCAAGAATCTCGAGACCCTGCCCTACTCGAGAAATGGCGTCGCATGGTCGATGTGCGCTTTCATAATTGCATGAAGGGAGGTCGACGACCAAAGCACAGTCGCTTTCGTTGCAGTGATTCTCGCTTGTCTAGCATGGCCGTGGAGTGCGACAATCAACATAGGCACGATCCCTACCTGGTCTATCAGACCGGCCGACAGTGGAGGTTCAGTACCGCTGAAGAGGCGGAATATCCGCCTCAACTTTGCCAGGAGGTGTCGCAACTGCTGGCCGCGACAGCGGGTTTGCCATCCTGCTTAGAACCGCCAGCAGGTCCACGCGCCGTCTGGCCCCAACCCCGTGGGAGCCACAAGGCTCCCCTAGATAGGCCCTTTAAGGAGTTTACCTCGGGTTTAGGGGGTGGTTCCGGGAGGTTCGGGGTGTACAGAACGCCTACCGAGTTCATCGATTGTGCCCTAAAGCTCAGCCATCCCTTTGACACACAGCACTGCGTCCCAGATGCCGTCAAAAGGAACATCTTCCGACGGCTGACCGAAGGACCATCTGCTTTTGCTGAAGAGAGGCTCAGACTTTACAACAGGCTCAACCAGATGGAGAAAGAACTTCGCTACGAGGAGGCGCGACTGCATTCAACCCTGCCTGACCACACTCGCGAAGTCATCAAGGGAAAGAACCTTCTGCTATGGGCACAATTGCTGAAGGAGACCAAATTTCCTGATGAAGGAGTCTTCGACTTGATGATGGGCGTCGATTTGGTGGGCAAGCCAGACAAATCACCCTTGTTTGAAACCAAGGAATCGCCGGCTACATCCACACCTGAGCTTCTCCTTGAATCAGCTCGCTGGCGCAGAGAGAGGCTCAAGGGCCGTGATCCGCACGAGAAAGATCCGGAGGCGACCTGGCAACTCTGGGATTGCACTCTAAAGGACCGGGACGACGGCTTTCTCACAGGGCCGTTCTACGATGAGGACGAAGTGAAAAAGCACCTTGGAGTGGAGGAGTTCGTCTGTTCGAGAAGGTTCGTCATCGAGCAGGGCACGCCGGAGAGGCCCAAACTTCGACCGATCGACAACTACAAGGAGGGCGGGGTCAACGAAGCTTACCATAGCCTCGAAAAGCTCGCCTTGTTCGATGTCAACTGGATGACGGCGATGGCAACTTACATCGCGCGGGTCTCGGATGGAACCGGTGCTTTGGAAATTGTTCTCAGCACGGGAGAAATTCTACGCGGAGAGCTGCACTCTTCTTGGAAAGCTAAGAAGCCCGTCTGGCAGGGGCGAACGCTGGATTTGGAAAAGGCGTATCGTCAAGTTCCACTTTCAACGGAGTCGCTGCGACTGGGGGTCGTCATGGTCACGGACCCTAACAGCAGCAAGCCTTGCTACTTCGTGGCCCAGAGTCTACCCTTCGGTGCATCATCGTCTGTGTTTGCTTTCAACAGGCTGTCAAGATCGATCTTGCATCTGAGCTGGAACTTGATTGGCATGATCTCAGGATGCTTCTACGACGACTTCCCGCTTCTTGAAATCCAATCTTCCGCGAAGCTTGTTTCTGAATCGTTCGAACACCTGCTGAGGAAGATCGGGTGGAGGTATTCCAACGACCCAGCCAAAACCTCGCCTTTCAATGAGAGCTTCGACCTACTTGGAATCCGTCTTAATGCAGGCGACATCTCCAATGGCGTCGTGGTGCTCCAAAACAAGGCATCAAGGCTGGAGAAGATGAAAGATACTTTCATCCGCATGGCGTTGAATGGTGAATGGGATCTGCGGCAGATTCAGTCGCTGCAAGGGCAAGTGAACTTCGCTTTGGGCTTTGCTTCAGGAAGGGCAATGAAGATGCTGCAGCGTGCACTTGGAAGCTTCATCAGGAATCCTGAAGATCGCAGTGCGAGTGACTTTCGGACACTTTGCGAGTTCGGGATCCGCTTGATTGACGAGTGCAAACCAAGAGTCTTCGCCTGCCGGGGACCGGAACAACCGGTGTTGATCTTCACTGATGCAGCTTACGAAAAAGGTGTCGCCACATTCGGCGTGGTGGTCCTGGATCCCTTCACTTCTTCTAAGCTGGTAGCCGGAGGTCGCATACCGAAGACTCTGGTGGAATTCTGGAAGCTTGACAGCCCCGAACAGGTGATTGCTCAGGCTGAAGCTTTCGCCGTGGTCCTCGCAAGAGAAACTTTCAGAAACTTCATACATGGCAGGCGAACCATTTACTTCATCGACAACGAGGGAGCGAGAGAAGTCTTGATCAAAGAGGCGAGCAAGTCACGTACGCTTCTGCTTTTGGGAGCACGCTTCTTCGAGATGGAAAACTTGGATCAAAGCTTGACGTGGCTAGAGAGGGTTCCATCTGCTAGCAATGTAGCAGATGGGCCGAGTCGTGGAGAGATTGCAGAGACGGCGAAAATCATTGGTGGCACGATCGTTGATCTGCAGGAGAAGGCAGAAGAACTTGGAGAGTTGTGCAAATCAACTGTACAGATACCTTGGAAGCTGCTCAAGTAAGACCGGTCACTTTTAAAGGGGGTTATGCGTGTTGGGGCAGAATCGGTATCATGCACAACTGAGCGATTGCGAATCTTACCGCATATTTGCTCGTGCCTCAACCGAAACCCGAAACAGTGGCACTGACCACATCTTATGTTTCTGACTCGCCCTACCGTGTGAGACCCCCGACTGGAAAAAAGACCGAGTCCGAGTTCGAGCACTCTTGTGAAGAATTTTTACACATATGTATAGTTGCGATTCTCAAATATCGATGATTGAATTCGCACATTTGTATAGCTTGCGATTCTCAAATATCGATTGAATAAGTTCGCACTTTGTTTTTCGATAAATCAAATCATTGTGAAAACAGAAAGACGGCGATTTCGCGGAGCGACTAAGTTGTCTTTTCTGTTTTCATAGCTGCCGGTGCAGCAGCGCAATGATTAATTATTTATCGTTTTGCTTCCGGCATGCTTTCATGATGTGAGCTTTTGACTCACTCTTTTCAGGCATGTTTTTGGATTCATTTTGAAAAGTAGTCGGACGCGCTTTTTAAGTATGTGGACTACTTTTCAATGTTGATTGAAGTTTAACTCATGCGTGATCACCCGCGCCGCTTCACACAGCATGGCTCGTCGCACATGTGCAACATGACATGGAATCAGCTCATGAGCTACGCAGCTTGAGCATGCACTGTGCAGCAGAGCTTTGCTAAAATTTTCACCCTCCCTCCCGCCCTTGAGGGCTTTCGCCCTATATATTGGTGGGGGGGGTTATGCGTGTTGGGGCAGAATCGGTATCATGCACAACTGAGCGATTGCGAATCTTACCGCATATTTGCTCGTGCCTCAACCGAAACCCGAAACAGTGGCACTGACCACATCTTATGTTTCTGACTCGCCCTACCGTGTGAGACCCCCGACTGGAAAAAAGACCGAGTCCGAGTTCGAGCACTCTTGTGAAGAATTTTTACACATATGTATAGTTGCGATTCTCAAATATCGATGATTGAATTCGCGAACTCTGTCGAGCGCGCACGATATACCTTTATGAAACGTCGGACAGCCTTCCATGGGAAGGCGGTTTCAAAAAAAAAAAAAGAAGACGATGCACTCTTCTTGATTCCACTGGATTGCTTTTCATGGACTCCACTATTGATTGCATGATCTTTTATTTTCCATGAATTGCTGAGTGAATTATTCATGATCTCATGCCGTTGTCCTCAATCAGTGTGAATGAGGAAAACAAAATTTTGTTGGGGCCTTTTGAGGTTCAGGACCCTGCATTGAACCAGGGCCCCTCTCTCGACGTTGGGCTTAGCCCACCGTGCACGCCGCTGTCGCCGACAGCGGCAGATGGCAGCAGAGCTGAAAGATGGGCGAAGGTGATGAATCTGCCCCGTTCGACAGTCGGGCAGTGGCCTTTCATGCAGCTCATACTTGGAATGCTTATAAGAGATCGGTAGGCATCTTCCCGAGCCCTCCAGAACAAATGCATTCGCTCTTCAGGAGAAGCTGCCTCTTGCCTAGGCCGACAGGGCTCTTGCCCCCAGCGCCGGGTCCAGGGCCGATGGCCGCTTCTTCCAGCTCCGGCCCAGATCTTGGAGCCTCGCAGTCAGCATTCCTTGCAGCGGGACTGAAGCCATTGTCAGCCCGAGATGCTCACCTAAGGTCTAAGGCCCTGGATGCTAATAGGAAGTGTGCCTTGGAGACGTGGGTTACGCTTGTTTCCTTGGATTTTAACGCCTGGGGTGTAGCCAAGCAAGCCATGGGGCCTTTCGATCCCAAATTTGCCACAGGAGGCTTGGTGGAAAGTGTGCAGGACTGTCTTGCAGACAAAGCCACAGCTACCTTGCACCAACGCGTGGGACCCATCTTCAGATACGTGCACTTCTGGAAGCTTCAGTTCGTAGTGTGCCTGCCTGTGAGAGAGCACCAGCTCTACGATTACTTCAAGGCAAATCCGAATGCGGCCCCGACTTCGTTCAGGTCGCTGCTTATCGCTTTCAGCTTCGCCAAACATCTGCTAGGCTTGATCGTGCTGGACGAAGCCCTGAGCAGCGGGAGGATCGTAGGGCTTGCAAATGCTCATTACTCGACGAGGTGTGCAGTTAAGCGCAGGCCTGCTCTAACCGTGGAGCAAGTCAAGCGACTCGAAGCTCTCGTGCTCAGCCTCATGGCGCGGCCAATGGACCGAATCGCAGCTGGGTGTTTTCTGCTTATGATATATGGTCGCCTACGGTTTTCAGACATGCAACGTTCTTCAGGTTTTGCGATTGATTCAGCTTTGATTGATGGCGTGGAATCAGGGTACCTTGAAGGGCAAGCCGAGAGGACCAAGACATCGGTGTCGCTTGAAAGGAAGATCCGCTCTCTTCCCATCGCTGTTCCGTTGAAATGTGTAGGAGGTAGGCCTTGGATCAGAGCATGGCTTGAGCTTCGAGAGGCAGAGGGTCTCGATAGTTCTTATCCTACACTTCCGTGCCCCGCAACCGGAGGCGGGTGGACAAGACTTCCGCTTAAGGTCTCAAGTGGAGGCGCCTGGCTGAGAAGTTTGATTCCTGGCGCGAGTGCAGCATCTGGCGACGTCCAGATCGCGACCCACTCTTGTAAGAGTACACCGCTCTCCTGGATGGCGAAAAGAGGCGTGCCGGCCGGCCCTCGTCGCACTCTGGGTTACCACGTGCCGCGTAAGGACAAGTCGTTAATCATTTATGCCAGGGATTCACTAGCGGCTCCATTGCGTGAGCTGGACCAGGTAATCGACGAGATTGCCGCCGGTAGATTCAAGCCGGATCTCACTCGAAGTGGGATGATAGCCAATCTTGCAGATCCACAGCTTCCACCTGAGAATGAGGAGGAGGCTGACGCCATATCATCGAGCTCTAGCGAGGCGTCCGATGATGAGGAAGAGGCCCCCGTGAGTGACGAGGAGCAGGCCCTGGAGCAGATCGCCGGTCAGTGGGGCCCAGAGCCCGGCGACGGGCCTTGGGCTCGTCACAAACAGACTAGGTTCTTGCACAAGGTGAGAGATGAGGCCGGGACCCACTTGAAGTGCGGTAGAGCGATCTCAGTGCGTTTTGAGATTTTAAGCGAGGCGCCAAGATTTATGTATCCTACATGCGCCACTTGCTTTCCAAACTCCTGAGGTTCAAAAGCCGTGTCAGGAGTCAACGCCACGCGTGGGCGAAAATCGCGGGGTCTGAGAAAAGGCAACATGCAAATGTCACCTTGGTCGTGGATGAATAACCAGCGCGATCTCGTAGTGACTGCTTGTGTCTTGGAAGTGCAGAACTACAAGTGCTGTTTGAGCGATGCTTGTCACGTGAATTGTGTGTTGCGCTAGGGAGCTGCCGATGACAAAAGTGATTGCAAAGAGTGCTGGGCCCTAGTCTGAGCTTGACAGTCTAGAAAGAAAGAGCCATGTCGTTTGGAGAGAGTGCGGCTGTCTTCAAGGCGCGAGCCAAGGATATTGGAGTTTCTGATGAGAGCTTCGCGAAGCTTGAGGCGGAGGGACTGACAACGATGGCAACTTTCGCCTTCTGCTGTCATTTCAACCCGTCGGCGACAGACGAGAAACCTCTCACCGACCTGGTGACCAAGGTTCTCGGTGCTGCGCCTTCCCTTAAGGAGATGAGTTGCTTTCGGCGTCTGTTCGCCGAGGCATACGCAACTGTTGCATCCGACATCCGATCGCAGGTGGAAGCAACAGAAGACTCATCGATCAAGAAACTAGCTCCAGCAGACAGGGCCGAACGTTTGCGGGAGCAGCAATCCAGACTTAAAGGTCTTGACTTGAGGGGCAATATGGAGCCAGGCGACTCCTTGATTGATCGGGCTGTGGCGATCTACGAATCTGACAGACTCCAGTATGTGGAGTGGCAGCATTCTGTTAGCAGACAGCATGAGCTTCTTACAGGGCTCAAGAAGGATGCTTCGCTTACCTTGGATTCTGCAGGCGGCCTAAAGATTGCCAGCAAGCCCAACGTGACTCCTTGTGATGTGTCCACTGATATGATGGTTCGCTACGCCTTAGTGCGAAGGGGCCTAGCCTTTGAACAGGCGAACATCTTGGCGTACCATTTGCACGATGAGTTGCTTGAAAAGTACATGTCTTTCAGGCTTATGGACCCTCCTCCGAATCATGCGCGGGTGAGCTTGAAACAGATTGAGCAAGCTGATCGTCAATTCACCATGTTGCTCGCGGAACACACCCGCGGCGGCATCAAGGTGAAGGCAGGAGGATCACGGCCATGTGACGGTGCTTTCCGCAAAGTGTTTGAGAGCACTGAGTTTCTTTCAATGCTGACTCCGAGGCCTCTTGCAGTAGGCTCAGGAGCAAGCCGCGATGCTTCCTCAGGAGATGAGCCCCCGATCAAGCGCCATAAGGGCAATGGCAAGGGCCAGGGCCGCGGGCGCGGGGGTAAGGGCGCCGGCAAGGGCTCAACCAATGCCAGAGACCCGGCAGAGCTCCTCGCACTCGGGTGCGTGGCCGCTACGCCTAAGGGGCATGCCTTATGCTTCGATTATTCGCTAGGGAAATGCTCCCGAGCAGTGGCCAATCAAAGGTGTGATAGAGGACTGCACTTGTGTGCAGTCAAAGGATGCCATAGAGGGCACCCAGCCAAGGATTGCCCCGCGAAGAAAGCGCCCTCGTCGTGACTAATGAGTCAGACGAGCGCGCATGACCCACCATCGCCAGTGGCGCACGGTGGGCTAGATGTCACACAGAGCTATGGCTCAACTGTCGGTATGGAACCAGCAGCTGAACAGTCGCTCAACGACTCTACTTGTTTTCCCCCGGAGCCGCCCCGTAAGGCGGCTAAATTAGATGATGCATTTGCGTTTTGCGAGTCTTTGGCAAGTCACTTTTTACAATCTTCAGACTTCAGTGCAAACAACATAGCGGCCATCTTGGACGCTTTTCCTTCCGAGGACCATACTCGGACCTGGCTGGAATCCGATGGCGACTCTAAGGCCATCACTGTCGGTGCATGCAACCGAGGAGGAGTCACCGCTATTCGCAGCAACACGCGACGCATGCCAGCAGTGGCAAAGTATTTTGCCGCGTGTCTCAGACTCGTCGCACCCCAATGCGAGTTCACGTCTGTGTCTGTGCATCGGAACTTGCAAGCTCCAATGCATCAAGATTCCTTCAATAGCAGCGTGCCTAATGTAGTTGTGCCATTGTCCTTCTTCTCAGGTGGACACATCTTCGTCGTGCATCCTGAGGGTCCAGATCAAACCTTCTACGAAGATGCATCATGGACAGGCTTCAAACTTGATTGCGCTACTCATGCTTGGGCTTTTGATGCTAAGCATTGCAAACACTTCACCTTGCCGTGGCAGGGCTCCAGATCTCTTCTGGTTGCGTTTACCGTGGGCCATCTCTCCGGTTTAGCTTCCGATGATAGGGAATTCTTGACCTCCCTAGGGTTTAAGATCCCCAGCCGTGATGTCCAGCAGGGCCCCACCATGAAGCCGTACCCTTTGCAAGGCTACGATTTGCGGTGTCCTCAGGTATCCACTGATTCGGCGCCGTTGACTCAACCGAGTCCGGCCTTCCCCTCCGCTGAATTGCCTGCGGACGGGCCTCTAGTGATCGAGCTGTGCGCCGGGTCCGCCATCCTCAGTCAGACAGCCGCCAGCCGCGGCTTTGCAATCATGCCCGTGGATCATGCTCACAACCGCCACACACCTAAGTGCAAGATGGTCAATCTGGACTTGACCCAGAGCCATTCCTGGGAGGTCCTCAAGTTTGTCATCAAATCCCGTCGTGTTGCCATGGTGTTTGCGGCTCCGCCTTGCGGCACTTGCAGTGCTGCTCGTCACTTTCGCCCGGGCCCCCCAGTGCTCCGCACCACTTCACATCCGTGGGGTGTCCCGTGGGCCTCCACCAGAGATTGTGTCAAGCTCAAGGCTGCCAATGCCATATACAAGCAACTATGCGCTTTTCTTGAATTGTGCGATCAGCACTCTGTGCCTTGGTGCGTCGAAAATCCCACTAACAGCACCTTCTGGGAGTTGCCATGTCTTGCGTACCCTTTGGCTCATGGTTTCTTCGCGCATTGCCAGGCTTGCGCTTTCGGCAGCGAACGAGATAAGAAAACATCTTTCTTGTGCAGCAGCTCGGGCATCTCTCGCATGGCTCTGATGTGCCCAGGCTGTAAACAACATGCAACGTGGGGCCTTACTTCTGATGACACCTTCGCCACAGCGGAGGAAGCAGCCTATCCTCCGGCCATGTGCCAGGCCTTGTGTGATGTCTTTGAGTCGGAGGCTGCCAGGCTCAACTACGTGTTGGGCTCGGCTCAGCCACTTTTGGCCCGAGCCCATAAGCAACCGCGAGGACGCCTACACCCACAGCTCTTGTCAGAGCACGCTGCAGTTCTATCCCGCCTCCTGCCCCGGGCCCCGCCTCTTAATCACAAGCGATGTCTTACGCAGGATGTGCACGGTGTCCCCGCAGGGAGAAAGCTCTTGCGTTCCGAAAATAGGCGGAATAAGGGTCTCTTCTGTGTTTTCGGGGTCTTTAGGAGCCCAGAGTCTTTCGTCAGAGAGGCCAAGCTGCTATATCATCCTTTTGACTCTCTTGCGCAGTTGCCGGACTACTTGATCAAATCCCTGTTTGAGCAGCTGACAAAATCCCCTGCAGAGATCTGCAAGTTGAGACTTCTTCGTCTGCAAAAGTGGAGGGCCAGAGCGACTGAGCTGGCGCCAGTCGAGCACGCTCACCGTGCCAAGATGCAACCGTCCGTGAAGGAGATCCTCGCCAACAAGCGGACGGCGCTACTGGAGGAGATGGCGGCCGAAATAGACTGGCCCGACAAGGGTCTCTTCTCTGAGATGCGCCAAGGCTTTCGCTTGGTTGGGTGCCTGAGCCCTTCTGGTGTGTTCAGGGAAGGAGGGTACCTCGCCTCCATCAGCGAATCCGAGTTGATGGAAAATGCAGACAGCATCAGAGCTTCTCTCCTGGCACGTGTGTCATCCGATCCTCTTGACGAGAACGCCGAGGAGCTGTACGATGTAACTCTTCAGGAGGCTACCCAGAAAAAGTGGTTGGACGGGCCGATGACCCCAGGAGACATTGGAAAGAGATTCGAGGCGTGGATCCCGGTGCGCCGCTTCTGTGTTGTGCAAAAAGGACGCTTGAGACCGATTGACGACTTCAAGGAGAATCTTGTAAACCAAGCCTGCTCTACGAGCGAGCGAATCGTGCTTCAGGCGATGGACCATCTTTTATGGTCTCTTTCCGTGTTGTGCCACTTCTACCGGAAGCGAGGAGCAGTCGACTTTACCTTATCCTCCGGAGAGAGACTGACAGGTCTCGTCCATCCTGATTGGCAGAAGCCGGGGGCGAGCATGCAAGTCGCCACCTTGGACTTGAAATCAGCATACAAACAACTACCGTTGAACCCTTGCGACTTCGACAAAAGTGTGGTGACCTTGAAGGATCCCAAGACAGGATCCATCTCGTGCTTTGTCATGCGCACGCTTCCATTCGGAGCGTTGGCCTCGGTGTACCACTTTCTGCGGGTCAGTTTGCTGTTGCATGCCCTAGGGTGCCACTTGGGAGCGTGCTGGTCAGCATACTTCGACGACTTCCCTATGGCGACTCACTCGCTGGTGGCCACGTCAACTTCGGCTTTAGTTAAGGGTTTCCTTAAGCTAGCGGGGTTTGACTTTGCAGAGGAGAAATGCACCCCCTTCTCTTCGGATGTCGAAGTCTTGGGAGTTACTCTGGATGTGTCCCAGAGCTCGGAGGGCCTAATCAACATCAGGAACAAGCCGTCGCGGTGTGAGGAGCTTAATGCAGTGATCGAGGAAGTGCTCAGGGACAAGGCCTTAGTCCCTTGCCGACTGCCGTCCTTCATTGGCAAGCTCCAGTTCGCCGACGGCCAAATATGGGGCCGAGCAGGGCGCATGGCCATGCACGACCTTAGGTCTTTAGGGTTTACTTCCAGGATTCCGGTCTCCCTTGATGCCAGCGGGATCGAAGCGCTTAAGATTCTTCAGCAAAGATTGACGCATGGAAAGCCTCGTGTCATCCGGGCTGGGTGGAAAGAAAAGCCGATTCTGCTGTTCACAGACGGAGCACTGGAGGATGATAACCTTGATCACGGACCGGCTACTGTGGGGGCGGTCATGTTTAAACCGAATGAGCCCAACGCTTACGCTTTCGGATGCGAGGTGCCGGCAAACGTACTGTCTCATTGGAGATCCGATGGCAAGAAACATGTCATAGGTCTTGTGGAGCTTTACGGCGCCATTCTGGCTCTTCGGCATTGGCGCAAACACTTGGACGGCAGCCGAGTGATATTGTTTGTCGACAATTGGCCAGCACTTGATACTCTTGTCAAAGGAGATGCATCCGTCGCGATTTGGCGGGAAATTCTTATGATCCTTGAAAACCCGCAGGAAGCTTCACCGTGCTATTTATGGATAGCACGTGTGCCATCCGCGTCCAACATTGCAGACGCCCCGAGCCGTGGATCGCTTTCCGAGCTTAGCCACTGGTCTGTACGCGTGGAGGTGCCCAGGTGTCCGCTGTCGAAAGTTGCTCTGAAGTCGATTGTGTCTCAAGGCTAAAGCAGACTGGGGGATTTATGCTTCGAGGTGCACGGTTAAACCGGGCACGTCACGATGAGCTGTGGCTCATATCTTATGCCGGGCCGAGGGGCCCGGCAACAGGATTCATCCCCAGTTTGCCGATGAGCGTAAAACAATCGAGTGAGCAGCATGTCAGCAGTCGCCATTTTGATATATTTCGCAAATATGTTTGCTAGCCCAAATATCATTTCGGGCAATACTGAATGATTACCCTTGCAATTGTTTATATGACATAGTTCCTCAAAGGGGAATTGTACATGTCCCCACAATCGTGGTATTCTTATCTAGATGCTGATAACCTTTTTGAAACTCCGACGAACTTCATAAGAACTCTGTCGAGCGCGCACGATATACCTTTATGAAACGTCGGACAGCCTTCCATGGGAAGGCGGTTTCAAAAAAAAAAAAAGAAGACGATGCACTCTTCTTGATTCCACTGGATTGCTTTTCATGGACACCACTATTGATTGCATGATCTTTTATTTTCCATGAATTGCTGAGTGAATTATTCATGATCTCATGCCGTTGCCAGTTTCCTCAATCAGTGTGAATGAGGAAAACAAAATTTTGTCCCGCCCGCCCAACCCTGGGGGGGATTTATGCTTCGAGGTGCACGGTTAAACCGGGCACGTCACGATGAGCTGTGGCTCATGTCTTATGCCGGGCCGAGGGGCCCGGCAACAGGATTCATCCCCAGTTTGCCGATGAGCGTAAAACAATCGAGTGAGCAGCATGTCAGCAGTCGCCATTTTGATATATTTCGCAAATATGTTTGCTAGCCCAAATATCATTTCGGGCAATACTGAATGATTACCCTTGCAATTGTTTATATGACATAGTTCCTCAAAGGGGAATTGTACATGTCCCCACAATCGTGGTATTCTTATCTAGATGCTGATAACCTTTTTGAAACTCCGACGAACTTCATAAATATTTGTATAGCTTGCGATTCTCAAATATCGATTGAATAAGTTCGCACTTTGTTTTTCGATAAATCAAATCATTGTGAAAACAGAAAGACCGACCTTTCCCAAGAAGATCCCCAGCAGCTGCCTGACCTCCTCCTTCAAGCAAATTGGTCCCAAGTGGTTCTAGGCATCATTGCAGACCTCAGCTCACTTGCCCCACACCTCGAGGAAGCCTGCGCCTTCCTGCAAGCCATTCGCTCCTCCGGAGCCTCAGCCCTCCTCTTCCTGCCTGCAGATCATTTCCTCTTCCAGGCGCCTCCTTTCTCACTTTCTACCAAGCCCGCCCAGCCTCCAACTCTAGCCTCAGCCTTGCAATGCCATGGGGAGCTAGCCAACGACAGGGCCCCCATATGTGATGGGGCTGGTAATGCCAGCTATGCGGATTGGAGCCGGCCTAAACCGAGCCCTGCAGCCATGCAGGACATCATGCAAGCCTGGCTCAAATGGGCATCCCAGCGTGACCTGCCCAAACGAGTCTTTGCGCATCTCTCGCAAAGCAAGCCGGATCATCCCATCCCTGAAGATGACCAGCTCGAGCTCATTCGAATAGCCTGTGAGGTCATGGAGTGGGACTACGACTCCATGACGCAAGCGGCCGAAGGACAGCCATTTCGCCTTAACCTCTTGCAAGCCTTTGCAGACCTCCTCGACGACCCAGACAAAGATCTCCCAGCCATGCTACGCCTCGGAGTGCACACAGGAGTCTTTGATCTTTGATGCCATCGAGCCCTCAGGCTCTGGCCTCTAGCCAAAATTCAGCCTTTAGCCTCATCAGGACTAGAGGTCTGCGAGGGGAACTGGAAGCCGGCGGAGGCAGACCCGGACACAGTCCGAAGCCTTTTAGCAGAAGAAGAAGCTGCAGGATGGATACAGCCCGTGCAAGGAGGCCTCGAGGAAGCCAAACGACTTTGGCCCAAGGGAATCGCCGTCGGTAAGCTCAGCCTTGTTAAAGCGGAAAACAGAGACCCTCGACTGGTCTTGGATAGCACGGTCTGCCAGGTTAACCCCATGTGCCGCATCCCCGAAGCGGTTGCCATGCCTACAGTCAACGATGTCCGAGCCACCTTCATGCCCTCAGACCCGCGGGGGGTCATTCCTCGCAGCCAGCGTCGACTTCAAGGCAGCCCACAAGAGAGTCAAGGTCCACCGCTCAGAACAGGGTCTGCTCTTATTCATGTTCGAAAAAATCCTGTACAGATACGTCGTCTGCCACTTTGGCGCCAAGTTTTCAGCCTACTGGTGGCAGCGAGTGGGAGGCCTCATTACGCGCATCGCACACCATGCTCTAGCCTTTGCTCCCCACAAAGCCTGGCTTTATGTCGACGACCTCTTGTCAGCCTTGCTTCGAGCCTTCGCGCCTGAACTCTTGTTCCTTCTCATAGCTACACTGTCAAGCCTTGCCGCTCCGATTAGCTGGAAAAAGGCCTCAGTAGGGGACAGCCAGGTCTGGTGCGGCTGGCACTTTAACTTTCGCCTGGAAACGGTCGAGCTTTGCGAAGCCAAACGAGCCAAGCTGTGTGGTGAAGGTCCCCAGGAAAGACTTAGAGGCATGTATCGGCCTCCTCATGTGGGCTACAGCCATCAGCAAGGTCCTCCGAGCCCATGTAGCACCTCTGTACAGTGTCCTTAACAGGTCTCGGGGAAGCAATATTGCTCTATCTCCCCTCGAATGTGGCCAGCCTTCCTCCACAGCCTTGACTCCAGAGCTGTCGTCTGCAGGCTCATACCCGGAGTCAACTTGCCACTTAAGGCCCGGATCATCGAGGTCGGCAGTCGACCCGTTCACTGCAAAGCCGACCTTCCGCCACAGCCCAAGTCTTTGGGGCCCACTTGGGTTCGCATCTCTGATCCCACCTGCCCTGAAATCAAGCTGACCAACACTGCCCAGGATAGCCTACGGTGGCTCCTGCCACGGATTGAGGCCATTCCGACTACTAGCCTCTCACTTCCGCCCCTGGTCGCATGCCTAGCCAGAGCTGACGCCATGGCCGAAGGGGACAGAGTCGGCATCGGGGGCTGGATAACCACCAAGCACAGCATGGCCTGGTTTGCCGAAGCCTGGACCATGGACGAGAAATACATCGCCTGCTTTGAGACGTTGGCCGAGAACGCCACGCCTTCTCGCAGTTTTCGGTCTGCTTGCCATCGCAGAGCGATAACACGCCATCAGAGGCGGGCATCAACAAGCTTTTCACAACCAGCTGGCCTCTCTCACAGTTCCTGCAGCTGATAGCATCATGGTCATCCTGCCATGGAGTTGACCTACAGGTGTCTCACGTTGCGGGAGCACATAACCAATGGGCAGACGACCTCAGCCGAGGTCGGCTACAAGCCTTCAGCCATAGACCGCAAGAGCGCGTGAGAATCAGCCTTCACCGCCTTGCCTCGGCGGCCTCTCAGGCCACCTGGTCTGCATCCCCGGATACGGCAAGCCCATTGTTGCCCCGACCGGACTGACAACGTTTCGTGTTTTTGTTCACGTATGTTTTAGAAGGCATGTGAATCTATAGCACATCGCAGCACTGGCTCTAGCACTTGAGTTTTCTCGAAAAGCCCCTCCCGCCCACACCTAGGCTTTTGCTTTCGGCCCCGGCCTCAGCCTCCTGTATGGCCGTTCATAGTTCAGCCTTGAACACACTGGGTGTCACAGCCCCGCCAAACAGCCTTCAGCTCCTTGGAGGTCCTCCAGCGAGGCCCGCTGCTCACACAAGCTGAGCCCGCTCCTTTGCCACGGTGGCTTGCCTCAGGTTCGCCGTCTAGCCTACTGGCCCAGCCTCAGCTGCCCTGTGTCGTGCCTTGGCTAGCCCTCTAGACCTTGGCACCTCCGGGCTAGCCGCAGAGCCTTACAGATCCAATACGGTATAAAAGATGGCAGCAAGTGATAGAGCAGTGCAAGCCTTTCTAGAACTTCGGCGAACATGTAACAGCAAAAAAGAAAGGTCGGGTTCTGTTTGGCATAAACAATCAATCTATGCAGTTTTGGCTATTGTTTTGGTGGTTTTTTTGTTTTCGAAGCTGGTAATTATCAAAATTTGTTTTTTTCACACGAAGCGTGAGTGAGCTTGGTCGCAATTCGGACGCAGTATGAAAAATATTTGAAATTATGGGTCATGTAGTGTTTGTTGGCCAATTGTTGTTTTGTTGTTGCTTGTCTGTTTGTTTTTCGACCATTGCACGTGCAAATTGCGAAACATGCGTTCCAAAAGTATATCCTAGATCTAGATTTAAACTGTGGTTTTGGCATTGGAAACACCCAAAACAATTTGATCACAAAATAGTTCAGAACCAGCAACCTACTTACCACCATGCAATTAACCTTGTCCACAGTCGCCACACATGTTCATTGTTTGCGGATTGAGTTTGGCGGTTAAAGTACATGTGTTGACCATGCGACAGTGGATCTCGAGCTTAGCATACACGACCTACAGGAACTTGTTTCTCTGAATGCATGTTTAATTCGTTTGCAAGCTGATGTACAAAATGGAGATTGTATCCTGGAGGTGTGTGTGTGTGTGTGCATGAAAGCCAGAGCGATAGATTAAGACAGCGTTTTTGCATCAAAAGTTGCCATTCCGGTCCGCGGCATGAAGTTTCATGGCTTGGGCATGGACAGAGACACAAACGGTGTCGACAGAAGACAGGCTGCAGTGCATGTCGTGATTTCAGCTGAGGTTTTGTTAAAAAAAAGGGGTTCCGTCACAGGCCGAAAGTTCCTCCGGTGCAAGCATTCAAGCCACCCGTCGACGCAAAGGCTGGGGTCATGACATTTCACTCGCTTTGGACGAAGTGGTTTTGCTGTGGCAGGGCTGTTGCACGATTGATGTGTTCTGTCTAGAGGCAGTTGGCCTGTCCATGGTACTTGCAGCAAAAAATCGATGCTTTGGTAGATAAGCTGGACGTTTGTGTCAGGTGCGTGAGGATCTACGACATCCGCAGAATGCGAGCAAACCAGGCTGTGATTGCAACTACTGCCAAATGTAGCAAGGCTGTCACAAGGTTTGTTTGATGTTGGAGATTTGGTGGATGTGGTTGATGTGGAGATTAACATTGCCACATGCGTAGCAGGTGGAAGGGCCGAAGCAGATCGTTGGGTCAAGAGTCTTGACCGGAACAATCTGGAAATCAGCCTTGTAGTCGAACTTGCCTGCAAGCATCAAGGTTTGCAGCGGCGGCATTCCAACAAGCAGGCATTCGCCGCGGAGACGCAGAACAGCTTGCCTTCGAGGTCCCTGACATTGTCTTTGTTGGTTTTTTGATTAGCGTGACAACAGTCGAATTGGAGGATGGCTTTGGCAACTTCGACGAAACTCCCACGCGAGTGTTTTGGCCTCAGAATGTTTAGTTTGTAAGCTTGTCATTATGTCTCGCATGTGATATCTTTTCCTAGGTGGACCGTGCCAACCCGAAAGGTCGTCCCTGGCGAATTTTTCTCAGGGTGCATGGTGACTTGTGTACGTATTGTGTGTGGACCATGAGTCTGTTCGCACATGCAGGGGGTTTGCACATGTCTTTCGTGCATACAGTGCGCGTTCACGTGGCGAGATACCATCGTGTAGTTCAACAGATGCCCTCGACTATTTGGATCTATTTGGATCGTCACCCCAGAAGTCGTAATCCCCAGACAGCTGAAAGTAGAGATTTTCGCTTCTTGATTCACATCTCGAAAGCTGCGAACATGTCTTTCACTTGACATGACTGCTTTCCAAAGTTTTCACGGCGACGCCGCACAAGACAAGCTTGCTTCTCAGGGGCGTCACAGGCCACGATCCTTCCCTCAATTCACCGTGACTCGTATGGAACAGCGTGTGATGATAAAGAGGGCATTGAATGAGCAAACCCGATGGTTCAGACACAAGGCGTCAAGATCAGGCCGCGTCAAATGCCTTTCGCGGCAGCGAAGGCGTTATCCCTCTAAAAATGATGCACGGGCTGAAGATGCTGTAAGAATACAAACATTCAGTCTCAGCTGAAACTTCCTTCGGCGACCTGAAGGCTGTGCCAGTGCTTGCAAACGCGGGTCCAGCAGAGCCCACGAAGATTCCAAAGCGGTCATAGGCTGAAGCGATCCGGGGTTCTGCATCCTCGCCGCGTTGGGACCATGTTTTGATCATTAGTGCGGCTGGCCCAGAGGATTGGGCCCCCCACTGCACGTGCCACCCTGACGCCGTTCCTGAAGTGCTGCGTTGTTGGTTTGAGGTTGCTTGAGCATCGGCGAAGTTGTCGGTGCAGAAGCCTTTGCAGGAGGAGGGTTGGCAAGCGTGTCCGCCTGTGACGCGCCCACACACCCCTTGTAAACGATGCAGGCATGGGGGACCGGCCGCATGGTTTGCGGATACGTGCATCGCGATCATGCAACACTCACTTCCGCGAGCGTGTGCTACCTGACATGTCGCCATGGCTGGCTGAATCCGACAGAGACGGAAGGCCACATTCCCACCCACTGCCGTGCAGGGCGCTTTGCAGTGCCGTGTGTGACATGACGCGCATGCCTCGGAGGGGAGTCGATCGCTTCGGCGACCTCAGGTTCGCATACTCGCGCACCGGACTGGTCTGTCAGCCGGGCCCGGTCTGCGAGCGCTCTCGCTCACACAATTTGAGGGAAGCTCGAATCCCTGAATTTAGTGCAAATATTCGCATACAAATCCCATAAGAAATCTCACAGACGCGGTCGGCGCGTGGCAGGAATGCCGCAGGCATTTGGAAGGGGTCAGGAAAGCACCGGATTTGCATAGACCCTTGTGCATAAGCCGTGCATTGAACACGTGAGCTGATTACGGTCCAGCCTGTGGGTCGAGCAGGGCAGCGGAGTAAGGATATGTAAGGATGCAGTTCTCGCAACAGGGATAGCGGGGGTCGCTGTGGGAAACAGTCGACTGGCTGGGACACAGCACGCTGCCTCATAATGTGCACACGAGCCGCTGACGCCTGAGCACGACGATGCCGGCTTTACATCGGGATGCAAAGGGCGGTTGCGAGCCTGTCGTTGAGCATGGCATCAACCTTCACATACTAACAGCACTGCGGGATACTGCGGGCACAACGTTGGACTGCCTCCTCGACGCAACTGCTGCCGAAGGCCCCAGGCGCGTACCGCTACGTAAACCACGTATCGGCAGTAGAAGTAGTTGGCATTGCGAAACAAACGCAAACATGTATTTACAGGCGTAGAAAGATGCGAGAAAAATCTGCAGATAACGAGTAAGAGTCAGGAAGGTCACCGCCTATCAAAAAAAAGAAACCCTTACCTATCGCATCCTATCGGATGGTGGTTTGCTTGAACGTGCTTAGCGGCGTCGCCTACAGGTGGGAAAGGGCCCTGTACGTAGGGGGTCTATGGTGTCAGGACAGACGCTTCGATTTCTATCGTTCTCCGATAGGCGTCTACATGCCATCCCCTCTCCGGTGTGTTTCCTTTGCTTCCATTTTCATGCAATCATTGAGGCAGCAACGATCACCAGTGGAGCAGGCAAATGTAGGGAGCGATGGTGTGAGTTCGTGTTTCCGCCCGGACAAGAGACGTACGGAGGTCATTGCGAATGACTTTTGTCGGGGGGCTTCAGCTTGCTGTTGATACTGCACTCGTGCCCCGCAGAACCGGGGCAGTTCTGGGTCTTTCAGCACGCCACACACAGCGGTAATTTGCTCATCGAGGTCGATGGGCACTGAGCTTGCCAAACTTCTTTCTTGCCCGAGGCAGGGCCCTTGCCGCCCCTGTTGCGTCGCGGGCAGCCTTTGCTGATTTGCGCTACTGGCCTCTGCCTCCGCATGGTCGTTTTCCGTCAGTCTTTCTCTTGCATTTCCGTTTTTGATGGAGACACACTAGTTCTCAACGACGTCTTCGATACATTTTCCGTAGACACACCACATATTTTTCATTTTTTCATGAAACAGATATCTAAGTTTCAAGCAAACATCATTTTAGCTGTGAGAAAGCTGTGTCATGGCAGGACGGCCAAGTTCAACAGCACGAGTTCCGAAACAACAATCGTGCGGTCACTAGCTGAGAACTAAGAATGTAAGACTCAGAGCCCAACGACAAAGCTCAAGTCAGCTCAAATGCGTCGTCAAGTGCTATTGCGCGGTCGTAAGCCCTGAAGCACCGATCTTTGAGCTCGGCAAATGCTGGCCACGAGGCATGTGCGCACTGATGGAGGCGCGGGCGTTCTTCATCCCACTGCAAACTCAGAAACATATCATCAGAAAGCGAGTCGATGTCAATGAAGCCCAGGGCCACTCATTCCTCCACTAGAAAAATATGGGGCAGTTGCGCAGTGCGCGTTTTAGGCTACACCCACGGGACCGCACGTTGGCTGTCGCCCAAACCGCCTTCGCTGCTTCGCTCCTCGACCTCTCAGCTGACTGCGAGCCCGGCGACCCGCCGGCCTTGCACGCCAGGTGCTTGCGGATTCGCTCCGGTTTTACCGCGCCAGAGCCCAGCCGCGTTCCTGCGCAGTTCG